ATCTGAGTTGTGTCCGGAAAAGAATATTCCACGTTATAAAAAGGGAAATACAAGCACAATCCCATTCTTCTCTTTGTGAGATGTGTTGAAAAGACAATTTTTCAATAAGAAAGAAAGAAAGAGAGAGAGAGAGAGAGTGAGAGAGAGGAAGGAAGGAAAGAAGAAAGAAAGAAGGAAATGAAAGAGAGAGAAAGAGGAAGGAAGGAGAGAAAGAAAGAAAGAGAGGTACAGTTGAAAAGATTGGGTGCCAGCCAGCCCTTGTGTTCATCACAGTGCCGCACAGCAGTCCCTGTGGAGCAAAAACAGAGGAAAGGGGATCAAAAAACCAAATGCCACAAAATATTAGCTTGCTCAGTCTTTTCCTTCCTTCCCTCCTTCCTTCCTCTTTCTTTATCTCTCTATCCTTCCTTCCTCTTTTTCTCTCTCTTCCTTCCTTCCCTCCTTCCTCTTTCTTTCTTTCTCTCCTTCCTTCCTCTTTCTCTCTCCTTCCTTCCTTCCTTCCTCTTTCTTTCTCTCTCTCTTCTTTCTTCCTTCCTTCCTCTTTCTCTCTCTCTCATTTCCTTCCTTCTTTCTTCCTTCCTTCCTTCCTCTCTCTCACTCTCTCTCTCTCTCTCTCTCTCTTTCTTTCTTTCTTATTGAAAAATTGTCTTTTCAACACATCTCACAAAGAGAAGAATGGGATTGTGCTTGTATTTCCCTTTTTATAACGTGGAATATTCTTTTCCGGACACAACTCAGATTGCCATGATGTTAAGAGGAGAGTATGGCTGACACAAAATATGGTCCAAGCAGAGAGAAAAACTCTGCAACATACATTGTAATGTTTATGCCATATCAGAGGGTTTTTTTTAATGATGAAGGTTAGAAAACCATAGGATGCTTATTTGAGGAAAACTACTTTCTTTGGCCACCTATAACAAGTCATAAACAAAGTAGGATAACTAAAGAAACCTTTACCTGTAAGCATCCAAAGACCATTTAATAATTCAATTGATGACTGCATGACTGCATTCTTAAAGAGATTTCATTACCTACAGATCCCCGAGGACAAGGTGCAGCTGCAGGTAAACCAAAGCGGGTGCGGGGCCACCAAATATCAGCTCCAATGGCACGTGGGCAACTATCGTAATTCACTGCAAGAAAAAACGTTAAAGAGTCTGGGTGTAGTCATTTGCCCTATGCCAGTGTTTCTCAACCGTGGCAACTTTAAGTCCTGTGGACTTCAACTCCTAGAATCCTCCAGCCAGCTGGCTGGGGAATTCTGGGAGTTGAAGTCCACAGGACTTAAAGTTGCCACGGTTGAGAAACACTGCCCTATGCAAACTCAGTGTGCTCTTTTCAGTAAGCATGTTTAAAAGGGAAGGTAATCAAGGTTTAATATTTTTACAAATACTTGCTTTTGGAAATAATCTGCATACAGAAAACAAAGGGCAAGAATGCATTCTAGTCATATAGAAAACAACAGTCCACCCACTAAGCAATTCAATGTGTATGAATCACATGAATCAACGTGATAGTTGCATTGTATTACCCCTTTAATTGCTGGGAGATATCTAGTTCAGAAAATTGGTGAGCAAAAGTAAGAAGTGTGTGATAAAGCAGACTTTCTTTCGAATCAAGCTTGACTTTGTCTCCTAGTCACTTCATAGACATGTCCATGCAGACCAGAGGTGTGAAACTCGATTTCATTGAGGGCTGCATCAGGGTTGTGGTTGACCTCAGGGGGCTGCAGTGGGTATGGCCAGAGTGGTTGTGGCCTGCTTGATGTCACTCATGTCAGGGGTGCCTGTGACAGCCTGAGCACTCTGCCAGCAAAAATGGGCTCCCAAGAGGCTCTGCACACGGAAGCTCCATTTTCCCTGGTAGAGGGTTGCAGGAGGCTGTTGCACCTGTAAACGGAGCTCAGGAACCCATTTTCAATGACAGAGGCACCACCGGACGGTCCCTCACTGTTCCAGGGTGGCCCCACAGACCAAATCTAAACACCCAGTGGGCTGGATCTGGCCTGCAGATTTTTTCAGAACTAGCACAAAGGTGGTCTGCAATTGCTTTTTTCCAATATTTCCTTACACACACACACCCCAACCTCAATCTTGCCTATTGCTAGGGTTTCTTGGTGGCCTACCATTCAAATCCCGGTCAACTTTAACCCTACTCCATTCTAAGGTTGCAGTCGCAGTAGACAAATTTGACCCAAACCAAAAAGTGATTCGGCTGTGCTTCCCGCCAACGGAATATTTCTAACCTTCACAGCCGCTGATGGTAACTTCTGCAAAAGGATTGTCACAGCGGTCACAGCGGCGTCCAATGACACCTGGCTTGCAGGAGCACTGCCCAGTCTCAGCTTCACAGGTGCGAGATAATGAGCCGGTATGGTAGCAGTCACAGAGGAAACATGTAGCGCTATCTGCTGGACGGTAGTGATTGTCCTGTAGAATAGCAGAGAGACTTCTGTCCATTTTATTTGTAATAATTTATATATATATANTGTTTTTGTATGTTTCTTTCATCTGTGCAGCATAACCAACAGGTACTGAAGGATGTACATTGCCATTGTTTAAAAAAATAGTTCTATAAAATGCCACGTTAAATGCCACGTATATGCCACATTAAATTACAGGTTGTTTTCATGATTAGCAGCCCAAAAATCTATACTCCAAAGTGTTCAGGAAGCAAAATCTTTGTTGTTCAGTGTCTTGATAGCTCAGTTGCAGCTTTTGTCTTATCACAGCTTTGCTAAGATAAAGTCAGAAACTGAACCAAAGCTTACCCTAAGCTACTTCAATAAAAATGCTCTAGTACTGAATTTAATACTTATCACAGAATTTAATACTCTGAAAATCTCTTCCTTCAAGTTATAGTTCCAGGGCTAAAAAATAACCAGAAAATGTGAGGATTATACCAGCTGAAAGAGCCAGAAAGGAAAATGATGGAAGTCTTATCAATTACAGGCAGCAACTGACAGCACTTAAAGAAAAGCAACTCATGAAGAGATAGCTTGTTTAAGCAATCTGTCCACTCTGTGAGGAGCAAAGAAGTGGGGGGGAGAATGGGCCAGACACAGGACAAGGTATACTAACAGATCATAATGGTAAACATGTGACTGACAGAGAAAGAGAGACAAATACTGTGAAAGTTGTAAAAGTGTGCCTGGCCACAAAGTTGTTTTTTTTAAGCACCAATGTAACTTCAAATGTAACTTTAAACCTTCCAAGAGTCTCTTAGTAGAGAGATGAGTGGCATACAAATCTAATGAATAAAAAATGATCAATGCATGAAGCAGTTGGCAAACTATGTTTCCTTGTATTTCTTTGTTAAAAGACAATTCATATTGCCATCCCATTCATCAATCCAGACAATAAGAGGACGTGGTCCTGAGGAAGCTGCTGGCTTTCTATTTTTACAATAATACAGCCCTAGTCTTCACAAGCTCATTGTGAAATATCTTACAAAGAGAGTCAACATCTCCTCCCTGGCTTATAGTCAAGAGATGGTCATCGGCAGGACTGGGGATTCTATGAATGAAACCAACTTGAATGAGAACAAAGGGTTGCATCAAACAGCGATTGCGTTTGGGAATTTTGGTAAAATAAAAATAAACTATTTGCGCTCATTCATACATATAAAAAAGAGTACATCCATAGATTCCTGGCTTTGCTCTGGAGCAGGAAAAATGAAAGAAAAGTACTTACAAAATCCTTGAGAACAGCAAAAGTCAGTGAGGTACAGTTGAAAAGATTGGGTGCCAGCCAGCCCTTGTGTTCATCACAGTGCCGCACAGCAGTCCCTGTTGAGCAAAAACAGAGGAAAGGGGAGATTCATAAACAGGAGGTATAAACCTTTGTCTTAGGGTTATAATGTT